GTCGATAGAGCCGAAGGGGTAGTTTAGTACCCAGCTATGCTAGATTATGATTATGTGATAGACCGGTCGAGAGGACCGAAGGGGTAGGCCAACACCCAAATATGCTAGGCAAGGTCACCGGTCGAGAGGACCGAAGGGGTAGGCCAACACCTAGATATGCTAGGCAAGGTCACCAGTCGAGAGGACCGAAGGGGTAGGCCAGCACCCAGATATGCTAGGCAAGGTCACCGGTCGAGAGGACCGAAGGGGTAGGTTGGGAACCCAGATATGCCTGACAGTATGTATGCTATGTGATTGTATGGTATGTGGTATGATGGGGGAACTCACTAAGCTTCGTGCTTAAAGTTTCCAGTTTTGTTTCAGGTACCTCTTCAGCGAAGGGGAAGGAGTCGGCGCTGTAGCGACACATCACACTCACATAGGATTTCCGCATTGAGTTTTCTGGGATTGTACTCTGATTTTTATTACTACTGACGATATGGTGTTGAGACACGTTGTTAAAATCTTATAAATTGTTATGTTATTGGAAATGTGTTTGGTAAACGATTTTATGAGTTACTTAATTAAAAATGAAATTTTGGCCTTAAAAATTGGGATGTTACAGACTAAAAATGTAAACATTTTCATATATGGGCCTTATTTGGGCTTCTCACAGTTTTGGTCCCAAAAATTGTAATTTTTGATCTTTTGTGGGCTTAAATGTCATTTTTAAGAAAGTTGTGCCAAAAATGTAAATTTTTGATAAGAAGGGTTAAAGATGTGAAATTATAAAAATTTGGGCCAAAAAAAAGATTAAATTATCTACAATGGGCCCAAAATATATACTTTTTATAAAAATCAAGCCAAAAATGATATTTTTGACAAAAGTGAGTTAAAAATGTTATTTTTACAAAAACTAGCCTTAAATACAAGTTTTGTCCAAAAAGGGGCCTAAAATGTTATTTTTACCAAAATTGGACTTTAATTGTAAATTTTTGGTTTAATGGGCCAAGAATGTCATTTTTACAAAAGGTGAGCCTTTTATGTCATTTTGGTAAATAATTGAGCTAAAACTAGCAATATAATAACAAACGGGCTAATTAGCTAATTCTCATGGTTATTGGGCCTTGGTGACCCATTTATATGCTTGATAGGTCCTGAATACTCTTTATATGTTTATTGGGCCTCATTGACCCATTAACATGCTCGACGGACCTTCGATACTCTTTGCGTGCTATTTGGGCCTGTAAATACCTTACATGTGAAATGGGCCTTAGTTGTCCTTTTACATATATTTTGGGCCCATGTTATATAATCTCATTCCTTTCGGGCCTGGAAACGATTTACATGTTTAGTTTGTGTTAGTTGTTCACTTACATAGTTCATTGGTCCTGGAATGTGTTTTATATGTTTCTCTTCGCGTAAATTTGATTAAGGATCTAGTGAGGCGTGTCGGTTGACACCTATTGAGTGTACGATCGTAGCCTGTAGTTATAACCAGAGTCTCTTGGAGGGAGAGCGGGGGTTTGTGTATAGATCTATACGGGGATGACACCCCACACCCGAGCTGTTCGCTACAGTTAGACTAAACCAGTCTAGGGTGACGAAAACCTTATTCTATTTTCCGTCAGCGTTCAACAACGCTAAGACAGGAAAAATTGTCATTATTTAGTATGGTTATAACGACTCACTTAGAGGAATTAACACTATGAAATTTACGGGAGACCATTCCCTTTTCTCTTTGGATTACTCGGGAACATACTCGCGCCGGTACTCGACCTCGGGGGTTAACATAACATTCTCTTTTACAGGCAACATAGGGTTGTCTGGGGGCATTCTCTTTAAATTCTGTTTACATTTTCTTCATTCACTTTTGGCATTCTATTAAACAATAACATACATGCATTAATACAAGATCGGACACAAACATACTAAACTATTTTAAGAACATACAGGATTTTCTTGTGATTACAAAGTTATACAAATCATTTTCTCAAACATGCTTTTGAACTCACCAACATTTTTATGTTGACCTTTTTAAATTAAATTGTATTCTCAGGAAACCGTTGAAGCAGGTTGGGCTGAACAAACTAATGGATGTTTTGTTATATTTTATTTCATCATACTTTAATTATTTTGGCATGTAATATTTAAACACAATACTCGATGTAAACAATGTATGTTGTCATATTACATGTGTGATGATGATGATGTTATGTTTCAATTATATACTATGTGATGATACTACAAGGATGAAGTCACACACAAGCCCCCGGACGTTTCCACCGTCTGGTTCAGGGGTGTGACAAAAATCAAACCCATTCTTCAAGTGTGTTTTGCAAGCTAAATGATGGTGAGCTGTTGTAACACCGGTAATGGGATAACATATAAAAATGACCTAAATTGATGGTGCTTTGAACACCCTCCTGGAAAACGCTACCTAATTTGACGATTAGTTTAGATTCGAACTAAACAAACTCCAATTTGGAATCTATACTCCAAACACAAGTTGGAGGAGAAACCCTAAATCGTCAACTGACTACTTCAACAAGTCGAACCCGCTATCATAGCAGCGACAACGGAGAAGAAGGGCAAACCCTAGCAGGATCCGACGAAGAAAGAGAAACAACGGTTTGGGAAAATTGTGCATAGTCAAGATCGGTTTACAACGCCACCCCATTCTCGATTCGTCTTCTCCACCAGTTCAGATCTTTTTGTCCTTGGACTCGTTCCCGTTTGGGAAAATCACGCACAGTCGAACCCGATATCGATTTTTTAGATCTATTCAGCGCCACCCCCATTCTTGGTTCGTCCTCGTTGCTGCCCTTGTTGCCTCCTGTTTTGCTTTCCTTCCGGGGAGAACGAAGTGGAGGGAAGGGAGTTGGGTTGGGTTTGATCAGTAAAGTCAGTGGGCGAGTAGAGGGTGGTGGGCAGCAGCAGTGGTGACGTGGTGGAGCAAGGTGGTCCTTGGCGGTGTTGGGGTATTTCTTGGTGTTGCCGATGGTCAGGGAATAAAGCAGCAACGAGGGGTGTTTGGATGGTGTTTCTCCGCTGAATGAGTGATGGGGGTTGCTTCCTCCTTTTGGGTTTCACAAAACAAAAAAAAAACAAACAAAGTGGTCGTTTATGAGAGAGAGAGAGAGGGAGAGTTTTGTCTTTTTATTAATTTTTTATATATTTTTTTAATTAGTTAAATATTTAAATAAATAAATAAAATTGAAAAAGTAAAAGGTAAGGGTAAAATCATCATTATAAAAAAGTTCAAAGCAAATTGCATCAAATTTGCAATAAAATGAAAAGTTTGGACATCTGGTGCTAGTCCAAACTTTTTTGGACCAAAGTGGCAATTTTCAACTAACCACAGGGACCTTTTGTGCAGTTTTGTCTAAATAGAAAGACAAGTAATATAATTAAAGTACATGCTTTTGTTGTTTTAATATAATTTTATTTTAATCTTCATTTTCCTATTTTTGATTATGATCTTTTAAATTAATATTTTAAATTGTATATGAATTATTTTTTAACATACAGATTGTAGATTAAATTTTAATTAAAATTATTTTCTTTTACAGATGATAGAAAATCACGCACAGTCGAACCCGCTATCATTAAAAAAATTATATTTGGAAAATAGTAAATCCAAACATATATCTACCATATCAAAGGGTCGTATTTCATATACACACACTCTTTTGTCACGAACCAAAACGGTAATTATTTCATACGTTAATATTTTTTTCTTATCATTACTATATTATTAATAAATATTATTAGTTATTATAAAATGTTGCAAATATGTATAATTTTCTTTATTATTAATGATTATTTCTGTTAATAACTAAATTTATAATTATATTTAGCTGATGTCTTCAATCATGTCAACATTTAAACTCTTCAAATAAATTCACATATATTTCTTCTCGAAAGAAAAACACCAACTCTGATAACCTTCCTCAATATCATTGTTCAAGCTTTCAATCTCCTTTAAACATTAATTATAGGACTCCCTTATCCAATATATCAAATAGTATGCATAACTTTTTGTTAATATACATACAATATTCTTTTACATTACAATAATTACATGGATAACAAGTTTTGTTTTTTTTCCAGCTTTTTCTAGCGATCAGCATAATGGTCGGATACCCTTATCAAATAACATACAATATTCTGCATTTTGCGATCCCATGCAATCAACCAATTCATCTACAGTCATTTACGGATACTTCATCCAACAAGTTATCTTCAGCAATGCACAAGTTAAAAAAAAGTCTACACATATTTCCTATACCTATATTTGACCTAACAACAGATGATCACATTAATGGTCGGGATATTATTCAACCCATACATGAAGATATATCAAAAGGTAATCATCATAAATAGAAGGATAAGTTATATATTTAACTTAAATCTATTTATTGTTTTAATATACTTTTATTTTATTCATCATATTTTATATTTGTTTATGGACGTTTAAATTGATATTTAAAATTATGTATGGCTTATTTTTTAACGTACAGATTGTAGATTAAATTTTAATTGAACTTATTTTCTTTTATAAATTATGAAAATAAGTTATTTTCTTTTATAAATTATGAAAATAACATGGATTCTATATGTGCTAAAGAGCAACGAAATTTAAAGAAATTATATTTGGATATTAGAAAATCCAAAAATATATCTATCATATCAAACAGTCAAACTTCATCTTCACCATCAACACTCAACATGAGTTAGAACGGTAATTATTTTGTGTGCTTTTAGTTTTTTTTATTATCCTTACTATATTTTTAAATAAATATTTCAACTCTTTTAATTTTCTTTATTATTAATAAAAAAATTATTATACTTACTTGATGTCTTCAATCGTCTTCAACATTTATATTCTTCAAATAAATTTGCATATATTTCTTCTCAAAAGGAAAACGTCAACTCTGACAAATTTCTTCAATATCATTGTATAACCTTATGATCTCCTTCAAATATCAATTCTAAGAGTCCACTATCTGATATCTTAAATGGTATGCATAATTTTTTTTACTATACATACAATAATATTTTACATTGCACTCCAATTTCATATCATATTTCCTGGTATGTGGCCCATAATGATATTAGAGAGATAAATTATGAAATTCAAAATTTCACATCTTTAGAAGACATATTTAGTAAATAATATTATTCTACTGATAATTTGTATATATCTTTTGTGTATTAGTTAAATCATATGTGTTTGTAGTTTATTTATGGCTTTTAACTTTCAACTAGGGCATCAACATTGCTAATATTGCAGATTTTGTCAAGCCATCAGAGAAACTTTCATTTCGTCAAGAATTTGGTATTTTTTTTGTTACAAAATAATTTTATTTCTTACATTTGTTCCTCTTTCTTTTTCTCATATACTTTAGATATTCTCATAAACTTTAGATATTATCATTCATTTGATTTTTCTCACTTTCTATTATGTTTCATTGTTTGATCATTATTTTCATTTCATCAACTTGTGAAATACTTTAACCCATTCAAGATTCTATGGAGCTTTAATAAGGTCAGCTTCAGCTATCTTTGATTTTCTTCATTATAACATGCTACTTCCCTTTTTCCTTATTTCAACATTGTACTTTCAACCATCTACCTAATAACATATTGTTGCAGATTGGAAAGTTAAGAGACACTGTATGGCTACTTTCGGTGTTTGAAATGAAGAAGGATTTGATTCTTCAGTTAGCCATGGAGAGCTACTTCCGGTGTTTCAAAATTCAAAATTCAATTAGGGTGTCTATATGGTAAATATGATGTTCGACTACAATCACCTTCGGCGCATGTCGCCTACACCATCTTCGCTAAGTATGTTCGTGTGTTTCGTGGTTGTGACGTCGACGCCGGTAACAACGACCTTCTCGCGTCCCTCTCTATTCGATTAGGGCTCGACTTCCTCTCTTAATCAGGTAAGAAAATTTTCAAAATGTGTAATTTTTTCAATTTCAATGTTAGGTTTCGATGAAATTCGACATATAATGAAGCTTCCGTTACAATCACATAGTTGAATTGTTTTATTGCGTTGAAAAAGTTGGGTTCCATTTGAACCGACCGAAAATATACGGACATTGGCGACCGTGATTCCCTTCTTCTAGAATATGGTGGATGATAATCTCTTTTTTCTGGTAAATTCTCAATTAAACTAACTTTTTGAATTTATCAAATTCTTCATATTCAGTTTGTAATGAAGGTTTTTATTGGAATTTTTACACCTTCGTCTTGAAGCATTTTTTTTAATTCGGCTTTTTCATGAACTATTATGGATCTGCGATGGTAGTAAATGTTATTAAAAAGACCCAAATCAAGAAACTTGATACAAATTAAGAACCCTAAATTGTGATTTTCTACCTTTTTGATTCTTGAAATCGTTGTGTTCTGGTGGTTAATTGTTGTAGGATTTTGGTGAAGATAACTCAGAGAACGACTCAGATTATGAACATGGTGAATCAGGTGAAGGTATGACATAAGAATTAGAAGTTGATGATGAAGCAAGCAATTTCTAGGGAACCTTGAATATTTTGCAAAAGTAAGACGTAATAAAGTAGGACCAAATTTAGGCCACCTTACAAAGCTGGTAATTCTCTAATTTTTGCACACATTTGGGATAGATAATATGCATTTATTAACCCACAAGACCACAAGGGTAATATTGTTATATCTACAATCTGTTGATGCTATTTACTCCTTAAATTCTGGTTTTTACATTGTTTTAGAGTATTGTAATTAGAAGAAATCAAAGATGATAATGGTAATCATAAGAGTAATTACCCGTTGTTGCTTCTTTGTTTCTTTGTCTTTGATTTGAGGATGCAATATGCACATAAGTTTTACTGTTTTTTTTTTCATTTCTTTGGATTACTATATGGGATTTTGGTTTCTTGGGCTTTAGTGAATATGTAGAGATCTGACTTTGAGTGTATGCTCATTTATCATCTTTGTTAACTGAATGGATAAATAGATAACATGTATAAATGGAAAAAATGAAAGATTTCTCTAATTTGTGCAAATTTGCTTAAATTGATGGAAAAAAGACATAAAATGAACTTTTGTTAAGGTCAATGGAATTTGCACTTCAGTTTCTTCCAGAAACCTAACAACTTTCTACAATCAGACAACAGACACGGCTATGTTGTTGGTGTACACGTTCAGAAGACAGGACATACAGGTAAATATCTTAAATTTTCTTCTTATTCAAGTCTTACATGATTTTTTGTTCTTTAGTTGTTCCTCTCTGCCATCAAGAGCATGAAAAGGGTATATATTCCACAGTTTAGATTTTAATATTCATTTAATTTAATTAGATCAATGTTTTGTTTTATATTTACTTGATAAAAAAACTCTAAAGATACAAAATTTGATTGCTATCTTTATAAATTTGGTTGCAATTTGAAGGGTTTCAATTTTTCATTTTATTCTACAGTTGACTGGTAAATACTAAATACTTTTAAATAAAAGAGTTTGAAGTTAATTGCTATGTTTATAAATTTGGTTGCAATTTGAAGGTTCCCAACTGCGAAACTGAATCTCCTCTAAAGGTACAAAATTTTGTTGCCATTTCAGATGATTGCATCAAAGTTTGCTGGTGTAGATTGGTATTATTAAAATATTTCCCCTTCACAATTGGTTTTGCTTTCCTTTCACTATTGTTCTTGATTACTCCAACTATGGTTATGCATATTCCAATTCTGATAAATTTTATAACATGTCACTCCCTTTAATTATTGCAGGTATCTAATTGCACCTCTATATCAGCAGATGTGCTGAATTGAATTTCATTATGGTATGATGTTAGTCGGTAATGATTATGCTCAACTGACACACATCCGTTGGTTTTTGGGATTCAATTAGTGGGATTTGTGGTAAGAATGTTGCCATTGATGATGCACAAGTAACTTGATGTTGCCATATGGGTAGAAGTGAAATAGATCCATGTAAAACTACTTGGGTTGGCATATGAAAGCCCTGCTCCTCAAGACGCCAAATGCAATAAAATATATTTGCTAATCCAAGAGGCTTTGGAATTGGAAGGCACTGCTGTAATTCATTTCTAATTGCTGTTATTTTCACTTATTTGTCTATTATAGAACCATACTTTCAACTTTTCTTATCAAGGTATTGTATTTCATAGTATCTGCCCGTTTATAACAATAAAAGAATGTGAAGAAAAAATGTTTTCCGAAACCATGTGAAGCATGGGTCCTTACACTAGTTAATAAATAAATCATACAGTATATAATTTCTCAAAAAATTATACAAAGACCATCTATAAGTATTTTTACAACTCTCATTCCCCATAAAAGAGAATATGTTTCCTTTATCCGTATAAGTTACATATCAACGACAAGGATTTACAAATTCTTCTAGACTTTTTTGATATCATTGGAGATAGGTAAAAAAATTCATTTATATTAAGGATGAAGATTTTCTATCGGAATTTGATCAAATCTGTGACATTTTATTAGAAAAACACTCAATTAACTTAGACGAAATATCAATCATAGTCGAATCATCCTATAAGTCGGAAGTCGCAAAACTTTCTCCATCTACAAAGAATTCATCTCTAAGCATGCTATTTGGAAAAAATGTACAAGTGATTTCAAGTGGTATATCTATTTCACTAAAATAGAAAGTTCAACATGTGTGAACAAGTGGCTCAATATCTTTAATTACGAGTTACATTTTAAATTAATTGTAGGCTTTTGAAATACAAGTATTTAATTACGAGTTACATTTTAAATAAATTGTAGGCTTTTGAAATACAAGTAGGTATGATATAAGTTACAATGTTAATGGCTATCCAAATGAAATTTTGTTAACTTTTCTTGTTCTTATTACTACTACAAAATTCCAGATAGAAGACCGTTAAAATATATTGTAAAATATGTTCTTGCAACATTACTGTATAAAGGCGTTATTCCTTTATAAAATGTAATAAAAAAAATACTATTGTACTATCTCAATACATCATAGAGTACAATCCTTTGTAAAAACCATACTCTATATATTCCACAGCAAATCTCTTTTGTTTCCATATATGGAACAACATGGTATTTATATTCCTATACTCTTGTATGAAATGTTTTTAGATGGTAACAAATAACTCATTAAGATGCTGCTATTAGATGATATCTAAATGTTAAATGCAAAAAAGTTACAAAGTGACGTAGTGACAACAAATTTTCATGCAATTATGTAGTAAACCTATTACGAGACTGTCTACAAATTGTGAAGAACATATTGCATGAAAAAAAATCTAAAAAGTGATGTAACGACAATATATTTTCTTTCCATATGTATTAAACCGATTATGAGAATATCAATAACTTGTGTTGAACATCATGAGTTTGGTTAAACATCTGTAATATCGTTGAGGATATGATTGAATTTTATGTGAATCTTCCAGAGCACTTGAAAATGAAAAATAGAAATGACACCGATACAATGTTTTCGAAAGATGCGTAGCTGGGTGATACAACTCTAAAAAACCAACTTCAACGGTTATATTTACTAAAAGCAGAAAAAATAACTTTCTTATTTCGAACAAAATTGAAGTAATAGAAAGTTATGTTTTCGTGGAGAAAGGAGTGGAAGAATAGGATCTAAGCAATATCTGCTTGTTGACGTGAACTTACTTCTGAAAGGGTTTACTCACATTACTAATTGTGCGGACACGTGAGATTGTATGTGAGATTTCATTAATATTTTTTCTATTAAATCTCTTCAATCGCTCATTTATGTTTCTTTGATTGAACCACAACTCTCTTTATTTCCGTGAACTATGAATTCCTGTAAAAAGAATTGTTTAATTTGGCGTTTTCTATTAAATAAAGTCAATGTTTCTATTATTTTTGTGCAAAAGTGACTGCATGTTTCTTCCACTATTTGTCATTTGTAACAACCCAATTTTTTTATTTACTTACCATAAAAAATCATTTATAAAGAATGCATGAAAACATTATTCCTTAAAAAACTTTCAAAACATAATATTTGAGTTTACAAAAAAATGTTTCGTAAACCAAAGTGCGAAAGTTTCAAAGCCAGGTTACAAAGTCATAAATATCATAATGGAAAATATAACTGATAAACTATGAGAATGCAAATGTCGTCTACAGTCATGTCGATTTCTTTCATCTCACTACACGAGAGGGTCTTGAAATGGTTAGTCGATTTCTTTCATCTCTCTACACGAGAGGGTCTTGAAATGGTTAATAAACAACAGGTAAATATAAAGTTTAGTGAGCATTCACATTACTCGGCCATTATTACATATCACTTCCAAGATCATGGCATATTGTTGTAACGAGTTTCATGATGGTTTTGTAGCTAGAAATTGGAAAGGAAACAATTACTTGTAAGCTGTAATGGCAACCCAACATTTTTCTTCTTCCTCCTCTCTTGCTTCATTCTTTCTCCTCTCTTTGTCTGATTTCTTTCACTTGTTCCCATGATTTTTGACGTTAACCGGCCAAAGTGGAGATATAAGTAAAATGTCCCTTTTAAATAGTAAGTAATTTATCAAAATATGTGTTACATATCCAAATTTTATGTTTGTGTGTGGTAATTTGCATGTGGTATATTAGTTTACTTTAATTATCTTTTTCTGTATCTCCTGTATTTTCATTCTTTGGTGTATTTTTAAACATTTTTATTTCTCTATACCAAACATGTCCTATAATAGTCACCTCACAACAATATAACAAAATCAGATTTAGTGTGATTTTAGTATTATCTATTAATCGTTAGAAAAAACATCATTTTTGGTCCCTGTGCTTTTTCCAGATCTGAAGTTTAGTCCATAAGTTCAAAAAATTTCATAGATGGTCTCTGTGCTTTCAAAACTTTTGATATTTGGTCCTTAAGCCTCACCCCGTTAAATTTTGTCCGTTAACTGAATGACATTTTTGTCATTTCACTACCACATGAACCATTTATGAAGTTTTTGTTATTTAATATATATATATATATATATATATATATATATATATATATATATATATATATAATATAGAAAGGGTCTCTCTCTCTCTCTCTCTCTCTCTCTCTCTCTCTCTCCCTCTCTCTCTCTCTCTCTCTCCCCCCTCCCGCCCCCATATCTTTATAGTCTTTTTCCTCTCAACACTACAAGAAAAACACGATTTTGTTAGGGAATGGCGCTATGAAACGTATTTTCGTTATTAATCTACAATGGATCGTGCTATGGAATGTCGTTCCATAGCAAGGTTTCTACCACATTGTCTACGAGATTTATTTCTAGTAGTGAGCATGAGACTTGCTAGGGAAAATGCTACCGACTCCATATCCGTTGGTATTATGCTACCGATATTTCTATAGAAATAACATTCGTATCAATTTTCCAATGAAATATTTTATGAAAACACTTTCCAAATTGTACTGCTGCTATGGAATTAATTATCGTGGTTAATATGCAACTGAATTTTTCAACGAAAAACAATTTCATAGTTTCTTTGCTATGAAAGTACCATTCGTAGGTATTTGCTATGGAATTCTGCTATGAAATTAAATTCCACAACAACGTTGATAATGAGTAGTTCAAATTCATAGATATTTAGCTATGAAAATTTGCAACGGCAATAAAACTCGTGGAATTTTTAGTATTGAGCAATAATATGGTGTAAGTTTTGTTACCAATTTTGCTAGAAAGTAATTTTTAATGAAGTATTTTACATTAATTATAGTGTCATATTATGGAATTTATTTGCATAAATAAAGCGTCCAATCCAACTCCCATAGTCGCAAACCCACAAGCGGAAGAAGATAAATTAGGGCAAATCGATGTCGTCGTCTTCAAGTAGTAACATGAGGCAGTGCGGTGTGGACATCCGGTTGAAAGGTGGACGGCATGGACGCTAAAGAATCCTGGATGGAGGTTCCTTGGCTGCACAAACTACAATGATGAATACATAAATTGTGGTTTTTTTTTCGTTGGATTGACCCACAACTGCCAAACAATTGGTATAGAGACAAGATATACGAGTTAAGAGCTCAAGTCAATGGTCAAGATGTCATTTTATATGCCCACCCCCCCTGCGACACTCCTGTCAATTTTCATGTCAATGAAACGCTGACTCAAGTTGTTATTCAAGATACTAATGAACATGGTAATGGCCCTCAAGTTGAAGGTGGTAAAGTTGGAATTATCAAGTTCATGATGGTGTGTTTGGTTTGTTTCTTTGTTGGGATGTTGTATGCTTAATTAATTTTCTTATTGCTATTATGATCAATGGAGTAATTGTTATTATGATCAATGGAATTTGTAAGCTATGGTTTGAATGATATGTTTTTGAATTGGTAATAATATTTTGTTTGTTTTATTGCATTTTATATGTCTTTAATAGTACATGAAAGAATAAACATTTTATATGTCTTTAATAGTGCATTAAAGAATAAACAGTTGTTTGTTTTATTGCATTTTATATTATCTTGAATACTTGTTTACCATTTCAATGTAAAGAAACTGGATTATAACATAAACGATTACTTAATTGGATATTTAATGAAAATATTGTACATACAAATATCTCAAAAACACATGTCCCCTTTTATTAAATGCTTTCAATGTACCAAAGAATGATAAATTTTCATTTTATTTAATTCTCATGAAGGGCACTAATACATAATATCACATTTACGAATTCACATATAAAAACTAAAAATTAGACTATGTAACCATCATTCTATAAAGAAACAAAAACATCTAGTCAATATCTTCTTCCTCTTCTTGTTCTTCATTGCTCGATGTACTATACTC